GGGATAGTTAAACATTTTGAAAACCACATCATATTCGTGCATTTAGTTAAAAGTATTGCCTTAGGACAGGCGTTGTAGGGTGCTAACACCTTCCCTACACGTAACCGACTCCCGAACCCAGAATCTGGTTTTTCCTAAACCATGCCTTATCATTTTATGGTTTTTTCCGTAGTTTTCCAGTATAAACTATGGTGGCGACTCCAAATCTCTTTTCAAAACCCGTTCCTTTTTTCGGATCGTCGTCCCGTCGCGATTCCGGTTGCGACACCATTGTTTTGGTTTGACTTGGTTATGTTGATAATAAGTTGATGGTTGTTAAGGAAAAGTTTCTATGGGAGAATTAATTTGTGAGTAAGGTTGTTGGACAATATGAACTGAGTATGGATAACTCTTTCGGCCGTGTGATGCGAGAAAGAAATTATCTTTGGCGGTGTGATGCGGGAAGATGATGTTTCCGTGTTGATGACTCTTTCGGCCGTGTAATGCGGGAAAGAAATTCTCTTCGCCCGTGTGATGCAGGAAGATGATGACTCGGTGGTGATGACTCTTTCGGTTGTGTGATGCGGGAAAGAAATTCTCTTCGGCCGTGTGATGCAGGAAGATGATGATTCGGTGGTGATGACTCTTTCGACCGTGTGATGCGGGAAATAAATTCTCTTCGACCGTGTGATGCGGGAAGATGATGATTCGTAGTGATGACTTTTTCGGCCGTGTGATGTGAGAAATAAATTCTCTTTCGGTCGTGTGATGCGGGAAGATGATGGTTTAGTAGTAATGACTCTTCATCCGGGTAATGCGGGAAAAATGTTCTATTTGGTCGTGTGATACGAAAAGAGGATGTCGTGTGACTCGTATTGAATTGGTTATGGCGATTAGGTGTTGTGGTAGTGTAGAGAAAATATACCATTGAGTTGTGATGTTAATGTTATGATGTTATTGTTGTGATGTTAATGTGGTGATGTTAATGTTGTGATGTTAACCTGGTGATGATATATGTTTATGATTTGGTTATTATTGTAGTTAATATGATTATTGTTTATTGTGTGATATGATAATTTTGGTTGCTCACCCTGAAATGTTGTGGTTGTGGTTTCCACCTACGATGATCGTACTTGTACGGGATTAGATGGTATGCAGATAAGACTGGATCGGAGTAGCTGACGAGAGTTGGGATTTAAGTTCGGGGATTTTATTTTCTATTATTGAAAAGTTTTCAGACCTTGTATTTTTATGTATCAGAGATATTCTGAGATTTGCAGACAACATTTATGGTTATGTTTAGCTTCCGCATTTTCTTATCAAATAAAGATTATTATTTTTCATAAATGTTTTATGGAAATATTGTGTTTTGAAAAAAAAAATTACACCGTGACACCTGAAAATTTGGGGTGTTACATATATTAACTTTATATCTAATTTAACCCCATAAAACCAGTTTATAAGATGAGGTTTACACCCACTTATAGATTATAAATTAATCTTATCTTTGTCGATGTGAGACTTCAACCACACCCTTCATGCTAATATATTGTTGTATAAAAGCTGACATAATCATGAACAATATTTCCTAAGGCGTGTAGATTCATTGTCCTTATGGACTTATCCGTGGTGTATTGCGCAAGCCCCCAGGATACAATAGGAACTTCCCAGAATATCTCTAAGGATCTCAGAACTAGCAATGAACTCTATAAAGAGTATAAAGTAAACCCAGAATAATTTTAGAAGAAGAATAGAAGAGAGGAGAATGAGAAAAGACTGATTTTGGATGTATTTTGGAATAGAGAAAGAGTTATCTATTTATAGAGCTAGGGAAAAATAAAATCAATAAAAGACAATAAAAGCAATAAATAATTTGACCTTTGCAGCACTTAAAAATTTGACTGTTGTTAATTAATAAAGTATTAACGTTGCAAAAGTTTACGGACGTTGCACAACTTTCAATTGTAATAAAATAATAATATTTTACAACAATCTCCCACTTATTGCAAAAGAAAGTTGAGAGAAAAGAAAAAAAACTTTTATCTTAGGTCTCATAGGATGTAATGCATCAGAGCTGGTATAGCAAGCTATATGAACCAATCTTAGATTGAGATACTTAACACACATTATAGTTGGTATAGCAAACTATATGAACCAAAGACACGTGATGTGTGTTAGAGATTTATCAATCAGAGTACACCTCCACAATCCTTGTTGTTATTGTTGTGTTGCGCTTACTAGGCCATGCGCGTGGCCGATATTCATGAGTGCCTAGAGATCATGTCAAGATCTCATGCAAGCGGCCCCACTCGACACTCATATAGGTCATTTCATCAAGTGTATGTTGCAAATCATACATCACCCATAAGAGATATGAAAATCATTAAAAACTTTGTTTAAACTAAATTCTTTCACCACATAGAATTTTAGTAACAAAGTTTAGCCTCTCAATAATGTAGTCTTTAGCACTTTCACACACCATAGGAAGGGACATAATTGATTAAAATCAATTTTGTGCTATCAGAACTAACAAGTGACTTGTTTTTACCCATATGAACCTTATTCATGGGATCTCCAATCACAAAGGTTGGGTTACCATCACTTATTTGTTTGCAAGTGGCTTAAGTCTCATTCCCCTTGATGTTTCTAATATCATTTTCTTCCCAAGGGTTTCGTCAGAGGATCTGCTAGATTCCATTCTGACTTCACATAACCAACGGAAATAGTCCACTCTTTAGCAGCTGCTTCACCAAATTGTGTCTCAATTGGATATGTCTATTCTTTCTATTATTCTTGTTTTTAGCTATAGCTATTGCCGATTGGTAATCACAATGTATTGATACCGATGGGATTGGTTTCATTCATAGTGGAATGTTCGCTAAGAAGTTCTTCAACCACTCAGCCTCATTATCAGTCATCTCAAGAGCAACAAACTCTTATTTCATTATTGATCTTGCAATAATTGTTTGTCTGGCTGATCTCCAAGTAATCGCACCACCCCCAAGTGTGAATACATAGCCACTAGTGGATTTTGTCTCATTTGAATCAAAGATCCAATTAACATCACTGTACCCTTCTCGTACAACGGGAAATCCACTATATTCAATGACATAATCCATTGAACCTCTTAAGTATCTTATAAGCTTGGAAAGTGCACCCCAATGTTCTTGATTTGGACATTGAGTGTACCTACTCAGTCTACCTACTGCATAAACAATATCAGGTCTAGAAAAGCTCATCAAGTGCAGTAAGCTCCCAATTATCTGGGCATACTGAGACTAAGATAATGATTCTCCTTTATTTTTCATTAATTTAGAGTTAACATCATAAGGGGTACTCACGAGTTTCAAATCATAATACCCAAACTTCTTAAGAAGTTTGTGTTTTATGACTTAAAACCACTGAGCGTTGTAATTTCAAAACATACGAGGAATTCACATGTCCTAATCTAGCATGCCATATATCATACGAGTCAGCAATATAAGTAGAAGAACTTGATTCATTAATATTTTCAAAAACATTTAGAATGAAGAGTCCTTTATCACAATATCACTTCCCCACGATAACATTATTTTTTTTGTCATAATGATCTTGTCAGACTCAAATGACACTTTAACCCCCACCTTTCCCAATAGTGCTACAGAGATTAAATTAACTATGATTGATGGCACATGTAGCACATCACTAAAGGCTAGAGTCTTTCCAGATGTGAGTTTGAGAAGAACTTTTCCTTTTCCCAAAACATGAGTGATCCTAGAATCACCGAGGTAGACATGTTCTTCTCCATCCCCTACACTAGTGTAAAAGGTAAAAGCACTTCTGTTTGCACAGATATGCCTAGTAGCACCAGAGTCTATCACCCACTTGCTCACATTGGTCATCATATTCACTTGAGAAACGACCGCAACAATAATGTCATCTCCTTCGGCTATATTGACCGTATGAGGATTGTCGTTTCTCACTCTACGTCTGCCCTGTGGTGCATGATGGTCCGGCTTCCCACATACGAAGCAATTTCTTTTCTTCTTAAAGGTGGGTTTAGATTAATTGTGACAGGATTTAAGAAAATTATTTTTCTTTTTGTGATCAGGTTTGTATTCGTACCTTTTGGGAGCAGGTTTTACTTGTACCATATTTGCTTTCGCAGATAAAGCTTTGGCCCTTGCAGTAGCAGACTCCTTCCTGTTGGTATCTTCAATTATTATGCGTGTAATGAGTTCTGGTAGAGACTTCTGTTTGTGACTTTGTTTCAACTGTTGTTTGTAATCTGTCTAGGATGGCGGTAATTTCTTGATAAGAAGTTTTGAAACAAATTCATCCGGTAGCAGAATATTTTCTGCTTTGATATCTTCCAACAACTTGTGGTCCTCACTGATTTGAGTTTTTATGTCCTTGACATAATCACGAACAATATTTTTTGAGGCGAATAGATTCTGTGTCCTTAAGGACTTATACGCAGTGTATTATGCAAGCCCCCAGGATACAACAGAAACTTCCCAGAATATCTCTAAGAATCTCAGAACTAGCAAGGAACTCTACCAAGAGTATAAAATAAACCCATAATAATTTTAGAAGAAGAATAAAAGAGAGGAGAATGAGAAAAGACTGATTTGGGATGTATTTTAGAATGGAGAAAAAGTTCTCTGTTTATAGAACTAGGGAAGAATAAAATCAATAAAAGATAATAAAAACAATAAATAATTTAACCGTTATAACACTTAAAAATTTGACGATTGTTAATTAATAAAATATTAACGTTGCAATTTCAATTACAATAAAATAACATAATCAACAAACAATGAATATTGCTATTTAACCTCGATACCACTCAAAAGAGAAAAACTTCGTTTAAGTCTAATGGATGAAAATGACTATGGGAAGAAATAAGTATAGCCGCGATAACATTAAATACAGGTGGATATCAGCAATTATTATTGCTTAGCAAATTTTATATATATATATATATATATATATATATATATATATAGTAGGATTATAATGAGCACAGTTAAATTTGGGGGTGCATGAAGAAGAAAAACGTCGGGTGCAGCCCCTATGAGAAAATGGAATCTAGTTCCGGCCCGATCAAATTCATGGCGTGAGAAATCATTATTGACTGAGAATTAATTTTAATGTGGCAGAAGAGAGGAAGAGAATCGAAGAGGACGAAATGGAACAATAAAGCCATACTCCATTGTAGCCACTGTAAAGTTCTGTTAAGTCTTCAGGTTTTCCCCTCTTCATTCCTACAATTCGTGATATCACTTTTTCTCAATTGCCAGTGCCAATATTAGGCAAAGCAAAGTCGAAACCAAAATCGAAGTAAAATGGGCGCACAGAAGAAAAGCGGCGCTAGGGTTTCCGAGGACCCCGACGAACTGGTGCGGATTCCGTTGCAGGCCATTCTCTTGGCTGATAGTTTCACCACCAAGTTCAGACCTATAACGCTTGAACGCCCCAAAGTAATCTTCCTACTCTCTTTAATCTTCCACGGAAACCTGCATTTTCCGTTTTTTTATTGATTATCTTTCGGTTTTCGTGGTTTTGAAGGTGCTGCTTCCGCTCGTGAATGTTCCGATGATAAATTACACGCTGACTTGGCTCGAATCCGCCGGCGTCGAAGAGGTTTTCGTGTTCTGCTGTTCTCACTCCAAGCAGGTCATTAACTACCTCGAGAAATCCGAGTGGCTATCTCAACCGAGTTTCACGGTGACGACTATAGAATCGCAGAACTCTGTCAGCGCCGGAGATGCTCTCCGCGTAATCTACGAGCGCAATGTGGTACGGATTCTTTTCGATTCTGGTTTTAATTTTTGCAGTCTCCTGTATGGATGCAATAGAAAAAGTATGTTGCAAGTTTTAAAAAAATTGATATTAGAATTGTTGTTAAGCAATGGTTGTTCTTAATTAGGATTGGTTTTCAGCTGTTCTTAATTACGTGCACTTGCAGCTTTTACATTGTGATTTAATCATGAAATGATATGTACGATTAGTTCGTTAAAGTTTAGAATTGTTACCTTGAAAATCATATTTTCCATGATTTTTTTTTATTGACAATGTAACAATATGTTCCCATAGTGCATAAACTCGTTCATAATTTGCATCTTGTACTTTGTTAAATCGTTAACTACTCGTAGTGTACAGTAGATACGGTTATTGTAATTTTAATATTTTGTTCCTTTTTACCACAAACAAGACATTGGAGTTTTAAAGCATAATAACCATCCATGATTATCCTCGTATTTTTTAATTTAAATTTATTTAAAGAAATTTAGGTTAACTATGAAACTTTCTGTATGCCCTTTTTATAAGCCTTACATGTGAGCCACTGCCAGTCTAAAGTAAAATTAATGATTTACTGCATTTTTAAAAAATATTTACTGCTCTTTCCACATCGTGCCAATGCTTGCTGTCTGAGTTGTGACTTTTGAGTATTGTATAGTTACACTTTTGAGTTATTTGTTATGTTGAAGATACAAGGAGACTTTGTCCTTATCAGTGGAGATACTGTGAGCAACATGTCGCTTACTCAGGCACTTCTGGAACATAAAGAAAGGAGGAAGAAAGATAATAATGCAGTAATGACTATGGTCATTAAACGGTCAAAGCCGAATCCAGCTATCCATCAATCTCGACTTGGTACTGATGAACTTTTTATGGCTATTGATCCTAATACCAAACAGCTTGTGTATTATGAGGATAGGGCAGACCAATCAAGAGGGACACTACAGCTTGACAAGTCATTGCTTGTTGATAATCCTTCGCTCTCTCTGCATCATGATAAGCAGGTTGAACTGTTTAGATATTTCTTTTAGTATTCAACTTTACTTCTTGTGAAAAAAGGAATTCCATTGATGGCACTTATTTGTAAAAAAAGCACATTACTAATTCCTGTCCAAATTGTTATTTTAAATTCATTCCGTGAAAAAGTTACTGTTTAGCAACAATTAATTGATTCCACTGATGTTTATCACATGACTGGGTGCCCTGGAATAATCTATTGATTCTCAATCGAACATGTTACCTATCTAAGTTGTTTTTCAGTTGGTTAATAAACTATTTACTGTTGTTATTATATATTTCCTAGTATATTTTGGATCATATCTCTGGCCTGTGACTACCTTTTTAATTTTTTTCAGCTCATTAAGTTAGTAATATCTTATCTGCAGGATTGTTACATTGACATTTGCTCGCAAGAAGTACTTAGTCTATTTACAGACAATTTTGACTACCAACATCTACGGCGTCATTTTGTCAAGGGATTGCTTCTTGATGATGTAATTTCTCTTCTCGGTTTTAAATTTAGATACCTTTTGTTTTGGTACTATGGATCCTGTAATAAGTTTCTGAAGTTCTTTCTTAAATCCTTCTTGGAAGGAAAAACTTATCCTTTCAATATTTTTGTTATTCACTTAACTGGCAGAACACAATCAAATTTTATCTCCTATGACCTTTGATATTCCTTCAGAGGTGTCATGTTGGTGAGTACATATTAAACACAGTGCTTTTTTGTATTGATTATGTGTTTGCATGTGTAGGAGCTTGAATAATATCCTACCTGCACACTTTTCCAACAATTTTTTTGTACATGCATTGGATGCATGAACAATTAACTAGTCTGATAAACTTGTGCATTTCTTGTCTTTGAATCTTTCTGTATCCAAGCTCATCATTCTGTTCATCTATAATAAATATTCTTTATTATTCTCTGTACTGCATGTAAAAATTGACCTTATGTTTCGTTCAGATAATGGGGTACAAAATTTTTGTTCATGAAATCCACTCAGACTATGCTGCAAGGATTGATAATTTCCGAAGTTATGATACTGTCAGCAAGGATATAATTCATCGATGGACTTATCCACTGGTGCCAGATGTAATGAATTTTGGCCATACTGCGACTAAACTTGAACGACAAGGAATGTACCGTGCTTTAGGTATGGCTGGAATTTTTTGTCAGTTAGGTGTGCTTGTTAGCTGTGCATAATATTACATGATAATATGATGTATATTTGGTCCAGTTTCAACTTTCAATCAATGATTATGTTTGACTGTTTGCTCAATATTGCTCATTCACTTGCTCTACTTTTTGTTGTGTCAAAACTATTTTTTACAAATTTTATCTATTTTAATACATTGTTCTGTTTTGACAATTTTCTCTCCTTTCAGAAATATCACAATCGCAGTCTGCTGTTATTGGCCCTTTCACTGTCATTGGATCTGGCACCAAAATTGGGAATAACAGTAAAATTTTGAATTCCGTTATTGGCGAAGGATGTAAAATTGGGTCAAATGTTATCATAGAGGGATGCTATATATGGGATAACATCATCATAGAAGATGGCTGTAAACTCCAGCATGCAATTGTATGTGATGGAGTGATTATAAAGTCAGGGGCTGTTCTGGAACCTGGTGTTATTTTGTCTTTTAAGGTTTGTATCCTTCTACTATCTATACCATGCTTGTAGCCATCATTTCTTACTTTCAAAACGATTTTTGTATTTCACCACAATAGTTATGTTGTCATTAAATCTGAGCATCATGTACCAAAACTTGGTTTATCAAGGCGCATCGTTTTTTTTTTATTATGTAAGGTCTTGGATTCAATTTTTTTTTTTAATGAAGGAAATAGGCTAATTTGCACAGGGAATTTATCTCCTTTAAGTGGGCCCACCAGACTCAGATTACTTGAGCCGAAAGTGGCTTCCAGAAATAGAGGGTTTCAAACCAAAAGAAAGGCTTGAGAACAATTGAAGTGTTTAGTCTTTAAATTTTTTTCTTAGCCTGTGTGCACAGATAAGTGTTTAGTTATATAATTCAAATTCGAATAAATAAATATCTTTACGTATATACATTATATTTTGGATTTACAATCAACAGTTTAATTGTGATATAAGATTTTTTAAACTATTTATGATTTCTTTTTAAAATGCCAGTTGAAATTCAAGAGGTAAAGGAGAGTAAATTTGCTATAGGAGGGGAATTTTTCTTATTTTTTTCTTGTGCTCTCTATAGATATGAATCTAACAATTTACTTTCATTTTCTTGATCGAGATTATGGTCTAATAGAAGTTCAATTAGCTTCTTGTTTATTTATTTCAATTAGTCACTCTGAGATCGAAATATATTGACTTTGTCTTTTGTCAATAATGTACTGTGCATACAGCTTTTGATGTAACAACCAATTTTATGCTTCCAGGTTGTAGTTGGGCCAGAGTTTGTTGTTCCTGCGTATTCACAAGTATCTCTTTTTCAGCAGCCAATTGAGGAGGACAGTGACGAGGAGCTTGAATATGCTGATAGTACTAGTGGTATTGTTGAATTTTTGTGAAACTTTGAACTGTGCCGTGGTGATATATGCTGATTCTTTATTCTCCTTATATTAAATTAAATAATTAGAATTGCAAAATGTCATATTGATAGCAAGTTAAATATTACCTGGAGTTAACAAAACCAAAGTGACAATTTTTAGGTTCTAAAACTAAAATTATTTGCACTGGTAACTTCGCATGCCTTATTTCAAGTTTGTTCCATTTAATGCTTCAAACAGGTATTTTGAGCCTGTTTAGCTGCTAAAGTTTAAGATACGAGTTGATTTATTGATTCTGTTAGTCTTTAAAAGAAAATTCAATTTAATATAAATAATTAGTTTGATTGGAATGTGCTTCTTTGATATCTTTCTACCTATGAATTTATTTCTTGTAGGGGGGGTTTGTATGTGTTTGGATTGAACTGGGATTGATTGTGAGTTAAATCTGTGTTGTTGTTTTTTTGGTTTGATGAGTAAATATATTCAGGTAGTACACTTGGCTCTGTTGGTCACATGGACAAGTGACACTGTTATGCTTTATTGAAAAATAATCAGGAGATATATGCTATATGCATTTTGTTCATATTATTATTTTCATCTATTGAATAATGATTATGTGTTCTCAACAGTTTATTAATAAAAATACATTTTAATAAAGTTGAGGACCTTAGTTGGTAAGAATGCAATTTATTTGTACCTGTTTGCAAACAATGACACAGTTTGTGTTAGTTTGAGTCATAATAATTTGCTTACTAGAATTCTCATAACTTATTTGTCATAAAACATTTTGGTCCGGAGAGAATACTGCAATCAACTATTAGATCGTCCATTCTATATGCTCTTCTAGTTGTAGCTTCTATATTATGTTAAATTATATGCATTTTTTTACTCTTCTTCAGTGCTGTGTATTGATTGATAGAATAAAAGCATAAGCTAAATCTTTCATTACCTTTTGCATGTATGCAGTCATAGGCAGCCAAGTGGATAAATCAGATGTAGAGATTGCTTCCAAAGTATTGGAGACAAATTTTAGTCCGGCTTCTCAGGTTAGTCCGTGTATGGCTTTTGGATATGAATTTTTCACCATTATCTCAGTTGTTTGCATTAACTTGTTCTTGATATGTTCTGAAGAATAAGCTTAGATTCATTAAAAGATTAACAAATTACTATTATTTAACCTGAGTTAAGACCTCACAAACTAGTTTTATAGAATTGAGTTATGTTGAAATCTAAATTATAGAACTTAAATATTTAATGACACCGATTTAATCACCTCTAATTCCAAGTCATGAGTATTTCCCATCAACCAATATCCCTTGAGAAAAAAACTACTTCAATTAATTAGACATTCAAGGAAAAATACATCCACTTAAACGGGGAATGAGTAACTGTCTCATTAACAAAGACTTTACAATAAAGTAAAGGTTTAAAAGAGATTTAACAATTTATACATTTGAAATAGGTCCATATTTCTTATAATTAGGACTATATATGGAGATCCATTTCAGATGTTCTGATTACACGGGGATATTTAGGACTACAAGGATACATGCTCCTACATTAATGTTCCCGGTACTTATCCCCACGTTATTGTTTTGATCCTATAAGTAAAAATTGTAAGCTTCTCTCCCTGAAGGTGAATGCGCAAATTTAATGCATTTTGGTGCTTAGTTGAGCTAATTTAATGCGTCTTGTCCTTGAAGACAACTAACCATGGGGACTAAATTCATTAATTTGCTTGTCTAGGGACTAAAAATGTATATTATTTATGCATAGGGTCAAAACAAGCTAGTAATTTGGGCTGGTGACCTTTCTGTCTCCGCCAATAGTCTTAGATTTAAAATAAAAAGTGAAATTATTTGATTTTCTCTTGTTCTATCTCTTCCTTACCACATTTAATATATCCTTTTACACTAGTTAGTTGCAATAACAAAATAAGTCACTAATATTGATAATAAAAAAATGCAATATCATACTACTTTTTTAAGAGGGAGTACCAAAATGAACCCCAAGATTTGGTTAGGGAATTTATTGTTTCTCATTACACCCTTTTATATTGATCAGCTAGGTGTGGGTGGGGCAGGTCATGTTTGGTCAACATGTGAAGGTGGCCTCGAAGAAGAGTGGAGGCACTCGGTGGCGCCTATTCCTAAAGATAAAATTCAGGAGGCAATCAAAACTATGGAAGATGATATGGAGTTTGCTACGGATGACGTTTTTCTCCCACCTTCTGGAGAACTGAAACCTAATTCTAATGATTCAGATGATGATGATCATGAAGATTCTAGAGATGACTCTTATTACTTTGAGAAAGAGGTTCCAATTTTCACCTTTAAACCTGTGTCAGATGCATTGTGTGGATATCTGATTTTAAAACACTCCATCATTTGCAGGTTGAAGCAACCTTTCTTAGAGCTGTGCATGAAAACATACAAGAAAGCCATTTGATCTTAGAAATCAATTCTTTGAAGTAAGTAATACACGTAAATGTATTAGTAAAAGTTGAATCTAGACCCATACCATTTCATCCGATTCTCACCAAAAAATATAAAGGAATGGGTTCTATTATCAAATTTTGAAGTCCTTTTTTCTGTGTATATTTTTGTAATCATGGTACTGGTACAGATTATTCATTGTTGGGATCAATGACTAATACCGATGGATACATGCACAATGTGTGTATTCTCTTTCCAACATGCTTTATTCCATAACCACAGTGACCTCACCAGGATGCTAACAAAATTTCACTAGTCCTTGTCACATGTGAAAATTTGTATTTCTTTCTTTCTTCATGGATGACATCGAGGTTGTGTTTGGGCAAACTAATTAAGCTCTTATTCAATAAGTTCATGACATGAGAGCTTATATCACATAAAATTACTGAAATGTATATGTAGTCTAACCATGAATAGCAATAACTTAGCCATGAAGGTTAATAGGTTGTTTTTGTGCTATTCTTGAGTGGAAATTTGGAAATGGAGAAGGCAGACAGTGCTATGCTGGGGGAGGAATCAAATGACACCATTAATTGTTATATGTTTTCCACGGGAAATATTGGAATGTCTTCTCTAGACCATCCGACTTCCATCTGCTCTTGTTTAAATATATGAGAATTGTCACTCTTGTTTTCTCTAGAAGGCATAATATCTTCAGCAGTCGTTATCAAACTATTTTTATTCTGCAAGTTTGATATTTTATTATATGTTTTACACTTTAAACATGCGTTCTCTGGGTCTTAAGTTGTAGTAACACTGGCTTTATTTATGTGGTAGGTTGTCATACAATAAAGAAACTTCTGACTGTGCTGGAGCATTATTTTATGCCATGATGAAGTATGCTTTAGACATCCCCCATAGTTCATCTGGTGAGCTTTTCCCCTTTTCAACTGTTACATAATCTTTTTAATCTTTTCCATCTGTTTCTTTATATAGTATTCCTTTCTTATTAAATTAAATTATAATATCTTGTGGAATTTATTTTAGAATTTGAACATTCTTGTTTCTTGGAAAACAAAGAGCATCTTGATTGTCAGAGAATGCTATTAACAAAATATACAGAATGATTTGGATAAATTAATCAACCGGAGGATTTGTTAAAAATTGAGTCAAATGGAAGTATTGTTTTTAAAAGGGTTAGAGGAAAAATCAATTTACACTAGACTGTTTTCATAGAGTCCATTGGTGTGATGTGATCCATGGAGCTGACTTCTACTGGAGTTTGTTGCACATCTGATTTTACCTTTTTGTCAATTTGTGCAGGAATTGATTGACATATGTTACTCTTTTATAATTCTGTATTTTTGTTTATTATTTGTTAATGGTTGTGTTAGGAAACCACATAACAAGAAATGAATTAAGAGGACAAAATGGTATAAGAAAGGATCATAGATCCTGTTTCATTGAAATAAAGGCCAAAACAGAAGGAATAACCTACTGTCCAGAGCTAGGCTCCTTAAGAGACCAAAACGGTACTCTCCACTCTATATTTCATTCAAAAACCAACCCTACACACACTGTCATGACAATATAAAGGTAATAACGAAAAGGTAAATCTTCCTAGGATCCTCCCATTCTCTCTCTCTAACTAATTTTGTCCACCTCAGCCCCTTTTATTTTGTTTTCTCCTGCTATAAACTTGTCCCCACTTCTTTTGCTCTTTTGTTTCTTTGTCCAATATATTGTGTGGCCCAACAGGTATTTGGGCTGTATCAATACCGCCCTCTTGAAAGATAGTCTTGTCCTCAAGACTAAAAGTTGGAAATTGGACCTTCATTGACATTTCATCCTCCCACGTTGCTTCTTCTGTTGTTTTTCCTAGCCACTGCACCAACCATTGGTCAACCCTTTCTCCCCTCTTGAGTATGCATCTAGTAGCCAACACTTTCTGGGGTAACCATACCTCTGATTGGTCCTCTTCTAGCCCTGTGGGCAGTCCTTCTGC